TAGCCGTGAAGATTAGAACTAGTGGAACAAAGAAGTGTAGTTCATTTGAACACTCAATGGAAATGTCGATAGAGAAGCGAGAGGCTTGTGACGTCTCGTCTGGGAGAAAAAAAAAGGGTTTGCGGGATGGAAAAAATAATTCGTCACATAGACAAAAGAGTAAGCAGGAAGAAGAAAAAAAAAGTCTAAAGACGCCTGGTTTAAGTGGGCATCAAACATTCTTTCGACTTTCCATGCTCAAATTAATATCAAATTGCCAGTAACATCAGCTAGCCTCGTGTGTGGCCGATTTAACCCTTTATACATAGAACAAAATAATACTGTATTATTTTCCTGATCGAATCTATGGTACCTCTTTTGTGCCATATTCTTCTCAACTGGTACGTCAGAGAATCGGGTTGGATGAAAGAATGCGTGGGAGTAAAATGTTTGCGAACCACCGTTAAAGAATATCACTAATTCATGTTGCTCGCCATTTTCTAATTCATCAGCATAGTACCCGTCAAAAATTATAGGATTATTGGATTGATCTGATTGATTTGTTTTCTATGATTATCAACCCTTTGCAGAATATTTTTACATTGTAAGATTATTTTTATTTTCTAAATAATAATGATTTACTGAAACAAGTCTTACTAATTAACCCATAGCTGGGGAGAGTATTATCTAATCAGATTAAGGAGAAGAAATCTATGGCATTCATAGATTGTATACCTTGCCGGCTTAGACGATAGAGTAACCGGCAAAAAAAATTGTTTAAGGACGCCTTTTTTAAGTAGACATCAAACAAATTCTTTCAGACACAATTTACATTATTCGGACTATTGCCCTCATCTTTGTTGCCATATTTATCACAACGTTTCGGCCGTTGTACGCTCCGGCCTTCTTCAGGTGGTTGGAATGTCGAACTGAACCCTTTATTTCGCTCACTGGGGTAGACTGTTCTAGTTCCAAGTGCCATGTCTAATGGATGTCAGTTATCAGTTATCTCCTGTTAATTCCCCTCTCCAAGTTCTCCATTGAACTCACAAATCTTTGGGTCCTGTCACAAGATCTAACCAACGCCTTTATCTTCTGTGTCATGTGTCCTTAAGGACATCTGTGTATAAATTTCTGGGTCATATAAACTTAATGTCTTCAGCAACCAATTTTTAAATATGGCAACAAAGATGAGGACAATAGTCCGAATAATGTAAATAGTGTACATAATACCTCATCTCAGAAATATAGACAGATACTGAAGGGTGAAAATATGGCAACAAAGATGAGGACAATAAATAATGTAAATAGTGTACAAATACAAAAATATAGATACTGAGGATAAATATAGCAACAAAGATGAATAAATAATGTAAATAGTGTACATAATACCTCATCTCAGAAATATAGACAGATACTGAAGGGTGATAAATATAGCAACAAAGATGAGGACAATAGTCCGAATAATGTAAATAGTGTACATAATACCTCATCTCAGAAATATAGACAGATACTGAAGGATGATAAATATGGCAATAAAGATGAGTACAATAGTCCGAATAATGTAAATAGCGTACATAATACCGCATCTCAGAAATATAGACAGATACTGAAGGGTGATAAATATGGCAATAAAGATGAGTTCAATAGTCCGAATAATGTAAATAGCGTACATAATACCTCATCTGGGAAATATAGACAGATACTGAAGGATGATAAATATGGCGACGAAGATGAGGACAATAGTCCGAATAATGTAAATAGTGTACATAATATCTTATCTCAGAAATATAGACAGATACTGAAGGGTGATAAATATGGCAACAAAGATGAGGGCAATAGTCCGAATAATGTAAATAATGTACATAATACCTAATCTCAGAAATATAGACAGATACTGAAGGGTGATAAACATGGCAGGAAAGATGAGGACAATAGTCAGAATAATGTAAATACTGTACATAATACTTCATCTTAGAAATATAGACAGATATTCTTTCAGCTTTCCATGCTTAAAATAATATCAAATTGCCAATAACATCAGCTAGCCTCGTGTGTGGCCGGTTTAACACTTTCAAAGAACAAAATAATACTGTATTATTTTGGATATCTAGTCGATGGCATCCATACATTTTATGCCATATTTTGACTGATCAGTAGCTGTGTCTTCATGTTGAGGGTACTTTGTTGGTAGTTTTCTGTTTAGTGCATCCCAACTGGTAGTAAGAAATCTGAATTGTTTGGTAGCGTTCAGAGAGGCTGCTCTATCAAGATCTCAGAGAATTTGCAGTGTCCTGTCGCGCATGGATAAGCGTTCCTGTATGCACTTCCAGCAGGCTACCCCAGGGCGAAATTATGCTTTAGTCTTAGCCAAGGTTGTTCATTGTGGCATAACGGAAATCATTTCAGAACAAAGAACAGGAGTGCCGAGTTCGAATTTCGGTTGGGTTTATTATGTTCACTTGCGCACAGGAAAGATATGACGCCACTTCAAAACTAGCAAATCCAACCTCAAAAAAAGTACACGCCAGTTATACCAATGTCAGGGGTCTCCGTTCGAACTTTCCAGAACTAGAATTCCATCTTCTTCAGTCTAAACCTGACCTCCTGTAATTGTCTGAAACGGATATTATTGCCTCGATCCTATCACAATCCCGCTCTACTCACCCATTATTACAAAATACGAACGAAGGTCCTCTCCCAACCTTATTCAAACATGCTGCCCCCAAAACTCCTGCCCTTATCTCAGAATGGCTCCTTCCTGGAAGGGAGTGTTTTATAACCACAAAAAATTCAGCCAAAACTAGTCAGTCATGATTTACCCTTGAATGTTCTGCAGCTATATCTCACCAGAACCACAACTTCAAAATCTATGGAAAAGAGCGGTTTAGTCTGGCCCTTAATTCTTTCAGAACAGCCCGCAATTGCTGTAAGAGAGTCCCGGAAAACGCAAAGTGTAGTTACGCACGATGTGTCTCCATGTGCCACTCCAGTAAGTACCTGACTCCTCAAGCTATGCTCTACATTTATAAGAGTTAGATAAGGCCTAAAATGGAATACTGCTGCCATATTTGGACAAGAGCTGCCCAGACGTCCGTTTCTAATCTTGATGAAGTTCAAAAGCGTCTCAGAGCCCTTGCTGGAAAAAAATATTTTTGTTGTTTTTTTTTTTTTGTTTTTTTGTCTCTCTCTCTCTCTCTCTCTCTCTCTCTCTCTCTCTCTCTCTGATGGTGATCCCTTACTGCTTTATCTTTACTAACATGGAAAGTGCTCGGATGAACTGCATTTCTTAGTTCCGCCAGGGCTGACCTTCACGGCTAGGGTCCGCCATGCCACTTACATCGAGAAAACCATCTACATTCCCTCCGTATTCCATCATCAAGAAGTTCCACTCAGACAGCTTTTTTCCATGAACCACTGCCCTGTGGAACAGACTCCCAAGTGCATGTTTTCGCAATCACTACAATCTTAACTTGTCCAAGTCTAGAGCCAACCATTATGTTCCCCTTCTATCTATATAAATTAGCCTTTAACATTATTCTCTACCTCGAGTGGCCCCCGGGCCTTGTACAGGGTGATCTTCACTGGAAAAAAAAATTCTCTTCTTCCAACAAGCTATAGATTGAATACCAGGACAAACTGGATTCTATAGCCTTGGTTGGCAACCAGTCTACCGCAGAAAGAAATGGCAACTTACAGCGTGAAAATCTTCTGCCTCGTCAGTCATGAATTGAAAAAAATGATCACCAAATTACGTATCATGTATGGCATTTAACTGACTGAAAGTTTGAAATGAGTTAGTAGACCATACTTACTTGAACCAGAAATGAAAAATGGCAGCCATAGATTTTTATATCAAATTTTGACAGATCACTAGCTTTGATTTTTTATTTTGAGGATACTTGGTTTATAGTTTTCTGGTTGTGATGTCCCAACTGGTAGTAAGTTAGAACTCTTAAGTAGCATTTTGAGAGACAGCTCTGATCAAGTTGCATAATATCAAGATATCTGCATTGTCCTGTTGCACATAGATAGATGTCCCTGCATGTACCCCCAGTGGGACACCCTGAGGTGAAATTGTGATGAAGTCTTAGCTAACTTTGAGTTTAAAGTGGCTTAGTAGCCCATGGTTACACGGAGTAAGGACAAAATTTGCTCATGCCCCCTCAGCACTTTCTCTTTTGAGAACATCTCAGGCACCAGATCATAACTCAACCCCTCTTCCTGAAGAGGTTGTATAGCTTACAGGGACAGACCTCTGGAGGTTGACTGTATAATATTCATTTTCAAACCCCCAGCATGGCTGGGCTAGATAGCACCAAAGAGGAAAGTAATATTAAAAAAAAAAAATTTTTTAAATCAGTATTATTACAACACACTGTTATCTTCAATCGAAAAGGAGATTTAGATGTGGCCTTCTGAAACAACTTGCAGAATCAGTTTATGTGTTGAAAAGAGGTAAGTCTCTTGATCTCATTATGTTTTAAATATTTTTAAAATTAATTCCAAATCTCTCCCAGTCAATTTGCAAGACAAATTTGTCGAATTTTTGAATGACTGGAAGGCCAACAATATTTTTTGAAACCTCTCCCCTATGAAGGTTTTGGTCTTCCATGGCAAAGTCATACCCCATCTGTATCTTAAAAAAAAAAAAATAATAATAATGATGGAGAGTCTTTTGCCATTCCAATACATTTATGAGGCCACAGTATGCTTTAGTTTTAGCTAAGGCTGGGTTTAAAGTCGCTTAGTAGCCCATAGTTACATGGATTGTGGAGAAAAATTGTTCATGCTCCTCATCAATTTCTCCTTTTGGGAAAGTATCAGATACTCAAACCTTGCTCCTCCTGAAAAGATGGTAAAGTCTACAGGAATGGTCCTCTGGGTCTTGACTGTATGGGCCAAATGACACCAAGGATGGAAGGAATATATCAAATCAGTATTAATACAGCACAAAGTTTTGCATTCAATACAAAAATAACTTGTACAAAAAGATGCATGCAAATTAAATTTTATTTCTTTTAAGGAATACCAATATTGGTCATTGTCTGTTCAAGATATGCAAGGGGTGTCTGTGGGTAGACCTGGGGTGTTTGTGGGGGTGGCATAACAAGTGACTGGGAAGCAGGAGGCATACCCTGCTGAGTCTGTGAGGGTTGCACTTGTGGGTAACCTGGTAAATTAGGCTGCATACCATGCATAGACATTGGACCACCACCAACCCCTCCCCCTGCAGGAGGCTGACCAGAACCCTGAGGTGCTTGGCTGGCACCTGAACCAGGCTGGGGTGGAGGGGGAGGTTGCTGAGGTCCTGACTGTAGATTACACAGCAAGTTCTGCCATTGTTGCAGTCGGTGTTGATGCTTTTGTAACAATGACTCTTTACGCATAAGTTCTTGCTCAAGGTCACTAAACTCCTGAAAAAGAAAATAAAAAAAAAATTAATGAACAATTTCGGTTCATGACTAGTATTTTTCATTTGACATCTCAGTAAAGTTTAACAAAGTGTAGTAATGTAAGCAAAGAGTCTGTTGAGATTGAGGGGGGGGGACACCCATCCGATTGCTCTCCCAACAACTACAGGAATAATAGGGAGAGAGGAAAGGAAAAGATGGGAGGTAACAAAAAATTAACACTGTCATGGAACCCACAGCAGCTTGGGGAACAAAATTCCCACAGGACTGACTTCCCAAGAAACCATGTCATTCTAAGTGCTGTTTTCCCCTCACCTTTTATTGGCTGGGGGCATCTTACAAAGACTTGGATCTTGACGAGTTGCAGAGAGGCCTGTATCTAGCTAGACATACCAAACTGTCCTGCTGCTAATGGGGAAAAACCCGGATGTAACTGTGTTGACAAACATGTCCACATGTGATCTGAGGCCTCTTTTGAGTCTGTACTGACGCACATTCGTTGCACAAACGTACCCACAAAAAACAAGACGATGCATCAAAGAGATTTTTTTTTTCTTTTGACACCACTATTCCTGTATACTCCCTCGACTGTTTTTATTGTTTTAAAAGCTATTTTTTTTTTTTTTTAATAAAACCCAAATAAATGAAACAGAATTTATATACTTTTCTCTTTGTGATACTATGGACACCCACATAGAAATCAAAGAAGTGATTTGACCAACGGTCTGAAGTGTTTCTGTTTAATGAACAAGTAAATGGTTCCTTTTTAAGTTATGCTTTTCACTTTGACTGAATATTAACCGTTAATAACTCACTCCTAACAGTTATAATATGTCTCACTAAGGCACTCGCCTTGACATCACTAGAATTCTCTCCAACTGACTCGAACGGACTTCTACTGACTAACTTTGAGTTCTTTATTTAAGACGTCTTGCATAGTTCATTTGTGTTACCCGAGGTGTGTTATTTGTCCTTCATTGTGTTACCCAGTGGGCATATAGCATGCCCTTTTCCATTTTTTTGGTGCCCATCAACAAGATTGAGAATCAGGGTACGACATGTGGAGGGGGGGGGGTCCCCAGCGTGCAGCACCTTTGGAAAGTGCCTGAAAACCATACCACAGGTTGACATAAGCCTAATGAGTGAAATTAAGTAGACAGAACCCTTGGGAGCCATCAATAGCTATGCTAGCACAAAGTCACAAGTCATCGTGGCCAAGGGTTTGAGCATGCTGGCCTTGTTCAAATTATTGATCACACTAGATAATACACTCCTTCCCAGAAACTGAGGTCTGCTCAGCATAGTTGCAGTATAAACCACAGGTGGATTCTATTGTTGTTGAATAAACACAAATGCACCTGAGCAGGGCGTCTGCAATAGGGACTGTCTAACCACCCTAGTAAACGGGTACCCTCGAATATGAGTGGCCAGTTGAAATTTAGAATTTTGAAAAAAAAAAAAAAAATTTGGCAGGCATTTCTCTCACGGAATAAATTCACTAATAGTTTGAGAGCATCTGCAGTTATACTTTTTTTATTTCTTGAGAATTGGCAACAAATGTTTCAAACACTTTATTTATTAGACTATTTATTAACAAGAATTATGTTCAACATTTTTCTTGTCTGTCCTTGACAAAAAAAAAGTAAATCCATTTTCATATGTCTCAGTTTTATTAACCTTAAACACTCTTGAGCCAGCAACTTCAGTCAGCAAGAAAAACATTTGTCCTGCCATTGCAGTTGACTCCAATTGCCAAATAACAGTATATTTAAATTTCACAATTGTGTTGTCACATCCTGCTATAGCAACAGCAAAAAAACAGCCTTGACATAAATCGAAATCAAGACAACTGCAGTTGGTATTTGAGGAGCTGCCATATGGAGGTGAAGTAATATTTATAAATAATGTAGCGAGCTCAAGGTTAAAAATATAAAAATAACTTTTTAAAATAAAAATTGTTAACAGCGTATACAGTAACAGTGATGTCAAGAGGAAAAGTAAAAACATTCTTTTGAGGCATCATTTTTTTTTGCGAGAACATTTGTTAAACTTTACAGACATTTCAAAGATAAAGATCATTCTGCAAGTGTGAAAAGTAGTCTCCCTTGAACTAGTTTTACTTTTATAATATAAAAAGAGTGACAGAATAACATTACACAATTCTTGGTTTTATTTGAGAAAAAAAAAGCTTTTAAAATGAGTCTTCATTAGAACAGTTTTTGTAAGAATCACTGAAAAACCCTTTGAGTTATTCAACTAAAAAGAGAACAGGTTACAATTGTTTTGTGTCAGACCCACTGTCTTCTCAACTGAGCAATGATGAGAGGTAAAACATTCAAGCTTTCAATAATGGTACCAACATTCATACTCTGGCTTCCATCTTCAAAGTCTACACAAGAACCATCAAGAGAATGGTGAATAAGTTTAAAAACGAGGGGACAGTAGAGAGGAAAACTGGATCAGCAGGTCACAACAGCAAGAGGGATCATCAGTTCAGCTAAATACATTCTTGTTGTTCAAAGTAGAGTCTCATAGTGTTATAAAAACCTCACAGAATTCCAGTAAGATATCTTTAATCATTTCTAAGATACAATGGTTCAAAACTTAATCTAACAATTGGACAATTTTGCTGTTACACCCAATGTGTGTGTGTGTATATATATATATATATTATGAATGAAAATGACAATAGGAAAACTGGTAATTGCTGACGCGTTTCGTCCAATGTGGACTTTATCAAAGCAAAATACGAAAATGAAATTAAATGAACAACGTAACTAATAAAAACAAAAACAGAATGTACCTAGCAACTGGAATGTAGAGAAACGCTATTTTCATATTTTTTCATATATTATCTAAGAGCATTAAGAATCTGTAGTCCTCAATATTTATTTAAAGAAGAAACATACATAGAAAACACATTCAAAAACCTACAATACCCATATCATTTCATCCACAATGCAAGAAGAAAGGCATACAAAATATACAAACGAAACAAAACTAATAATACAATCCGCAATAGTAAATCACATGAAAACAGATACATAATACTACCGACCAATTCTGCCACGTCCACGATCCAGAATAACCTATCCCATCTATATAATCTTGAAATAGTCACAAAACACCTCCAAAACCATTATAGATATACTAAGATCTTCAAACAATAATAGCACTAATATTTTCTGAAGCAGGCATTTATAAAATAAATTGCCAAAACTGCTCCTCCCAATATATTGGAGAAACAAGTAGAAGTTTGAAAAAACGCATTTATGAGCACAAAAGAGACCTCACAAAAAACAACTTAGCTAATGCAATAGTAATACATAGAAATAAATACAACCATAATTTTGATTTTAAAAATGCTACACTCATAAAAAAAGAAAATCACTCACTCAGAAGGAAAATTTTGGAGAGTGCTGCCATAGAAAATTATCCAAATATAAATTTACGCCCAGGCTTTTTCCCTATTTCACCTTTCTTAACAAAATTAATGCTCTTACAAACAAACATGCACAACAGATTCATAAAATCGAAAGAAAAATGGTTGAATACATCAACACAGATATAATGACAATATTCTCCACACGTGACAATCTCTGACGTTATTTCTCATTTAAAAATATGAAAATAGCGTTTTCTCTACATTCCAGTTGCTAGGTACATTCTGTTTTTGTTTTTATTAGTTACGTTGTTCATTTAATTTCATTTTCGTATTTTGCTTTGATAAAGTCCACATTGGACTAAACGCGCGTCAACAATTACCAGTTTTCCTATTGTCATTTTTATTCATAAATATTGTCTTCTCTACCGATTAAATCGGAGAAATTTTCATATATATATATATATATATATATATATATATATATACACACACACACACACACATACATACATACATACGTTTTACATATATGTTACTTAGTGGTTTTTCCTGAAAATAGATAACTCATCACCAAACAAACCCTGAATTCTGAATTTTCACCTATCATGATGAACGGCTGTCCTATCAGGGAGGTCTCATGCTTTGAGCACCTATAGGGCCTTAAACTTACCCTAGGCCTCATATGTATGACCTCTCACTAAAGACATTGGGAAAATGGTCAGTTCTCTGTATCACTCTAGCAAGTCCCTGATGCCTCCTGCTATTGTCTACCTTTACAAGACCAATACCAGGTCGAAAATGGAGTACTGTTGCCATATAGGAACAGGAACTAAGAAGTCTTCACTTTCCAGTCTTGAGTCCAATATCAACTCTGCAGCCTTGTGGGTGATGAATTATTTTCCACTTGACTACCACTTCCCCACTGGTAAAACATTGCAAGTCTCTCTATCACTACTTCTGTGGAAAGTGTTCAGATAAACTATATTTCTTCAGTTCCACCAGTTCTAACCTGCTAAGATCTACCATGCCACACGCCCATTGTAGTGAGCCAACCTCACTCACTATATATTCCATTTTTTTCTATTGTAATGTGTTTTAACCCTTGCTTGAAAAAAAGACCCAATTTAGGATAACCCATGACAAAAATTTTTAAGTCCCTTTCCAAGGAATCAGCTTACCTCTTTGATCACTTGTTCTGGCTTCAGAATAGAAAGAATCATCCTCTTTCGTAAGAAGAACGCTTCAATCTGCCGACTCACTTCCAGAAACCTTTGTAGGGCGTGTTCAATTCCTTAAAGAGAACGGCCATTGAAAATAAGATATTTAAAGCCACAACAGACATGAAAGGAAAAAGATAAATTTCAATATTTCTATTTCACATAACACTTAACCTATTTAGCATAAAAGTTGATTGTTCTCTGGAAAAAATACACTAGACAAAAAGATTCCTTATATTTTTTTGAATAATATTACTTTTATTGCCTTCAATACATTTCAACAGATAAAGAACTTTTTCAATATCAAGAGAAACCCATCAAAAGGGATAACAAAGAGTACCTGTTCTATTTAATAAAACATGTTTAAATGAAAGGTTGCTGCCTTTAATATATATATATATTACATATATATATATATATATATATATGAAAAACCAGGTAATCCATATGGGTAAACCTAAGGAGGATAAAATCCAGAGAGCTCAATGTAAATCCAGAACAAATAATTTAAATAAAAACAGACCACTTTAAGGTTCCATGTAATAAATTATTTCACCACAGCCATTTTAAAGGACTGCGGATCATCAGACTTTACTTCCAAACAAAAAATGAAAAGAAAATTTACACATTTTTGACGGTCCGTATTAAACATATGTAAATTAACGAAGTGAGGAAGTGAGGGGGGAGAGAGAAGACATGAGTGAGTTAGCAGATATTGACACATTTAAACGGTTAACTTAACGGAAGTTATATATTGATATCGAAGGGGTAGAGAAGAAAAAACCCATAGGTGTCACTAATTTTCTTTGTAAAAAAAAGGCTAGAAACAGACGCTGTTATTTTGGGGGTTCATAAAGATTATAATGTTTGATATAAATTTGAATGTCTCTAGACTGTCTACAAATAATTTAATTTGATGTTAGTGATTTTTAAGTTTTTTTAAATTTTGGGGATTTTCTATGAAATAGTCGATTAGAAAAATATTCATAGAAAGTACATTAAAAGAATAAAATTTTATTTTAAAATATAAGTTTACTTCTAGTAATCTATTTTTTAATCTCTTTAAAAATTTTATTATTGATTATTAAGTTGACATCTCTATCTGTTTGAATTTTGTTCCTGAATTTAACTTGTGACTCGTATATATATGTGTGTGTGATAAAAATATAGTTTTAAGGTGTGATATATTTGTGGGTTAAAGTGCTCAATATCAGGGATAGAGCATCATATATAAATATAAAAGTCGACACTGCTATAACATATCAGCTACAGAGAACTTTCGGTTAAGCAAAGCATCAATTAATGCTTTTAAACATACAACGGCTGAACAGTTATAGCACAACAAGTTTAATGGTGGTTCCTCATAGGACACAGGTTCAATTCCTGCTGGAGAATGCATATTTTCTACAAAATTTCTCAAATATTCAAGCTGATAAATGTAATTAATACTGTTTAATTAAAGAACGTATAAACAGAAATTTATTTATCTATGTTATAGATATAATTTATTTAAGAAGATGCTCTGTTCTTTAATTATTAATTACATTTACCAGTTTGAATGTTTGAAAAATTTCGTAGAAAATATGTGCTCTTCAAAATTTCTTGAACATTCAGGCTAGTAAATGTAATTAATAATGTTTAATTAAAAAACAAAGCATTTACTTTAAATAAATTATATATATAAAAATAATGCGTAAACAGAAAATATATTAAATAATTGTGGGACTTAATCCATTTCATTATATATATATATATATATATATATATATATATTATATATATATATATATATATATATATATATATATATATATATAAAGATTTAACTTGCTTTCAATGGCATATGAAAACAGCCTACCTTGAATTTATATCAATTCACTTGATTGTCACAAAAAAAAAAAAAAAAAATTGTGGAGAGCCATGAACACCAACGTCCTGAAGGGACACAACACATAGAAGTAGAAAATTGTCAAATGAATTTTCTTTTGCTCATATTGTGTCGGTTTTGGTAAATCTAATTGGCCAAGTCTTAGAACAAGAATTCTCAAGAATTCCCAAAGTTACCACCAAAAACTACACCAATTTTGGGCTTTACATAATCTTGGCAGAACCAAGTCATTTTGAAATCAATAAACAAAAACAGAAATTATTTATGACTCAACTTAACATTAACTTTAATGTTGGCAGTGGTATTAATTTTATTGGGGGGGGAAGTGGGGTTCAGAGGTGGGAAGCATTTACTAAGGCCTATCCCAAGAGTTTGAATCTCACAGAGACGATTATGCATTTTTTTTTTTCTCCAATCAGTGCCGTCTATTCCCAGAGAATTCATTGTTGCAGTAATGTTGCCATAAAAGATGAACTCAATTAAGACGGAATTAAAAGGCCAGTCAGAATCAATAACAATGGAACTTTCTCTTCAGCAGAACGAATGCATTTCTGAAGCAAACATGGAATCAGCATTAAGAAATTTAAAACCACATTTCTCACCTGCTTTTGTCTCCTCAGAATCTGTTACATTAAAATGTTCTTGCGATGTAAGTAGGGAAAGGCAATTCTGGAACAAAAAGCAGACAGCAGGGAATGACTCAATTCGCCTTGAAGAATGCAGTGCTTCAAAGAAGAATGCAACATTTCATTTTTCTTAAGAAAAAAGATTTTTCAATAAATAATGAATTCTTACAAGAATTACATTTTTTTTTTAAATTTTAACTCAAATAATTTATAAAGTTTTAAATCTTTTAAAATTCTGTACTAATTTGTAGCAGTTAGATTATATTGTTATTAAGTAAAAATTATATTTACTAATCATAAGTCAATAAGATTGCTACAATTCAGCAACACCCAATATTTTAAAAAGAATTTTGAATTTTTTTTGTTCGTGTATAATCATGCCAATTTTTATTAATATGGATGTCCATACACAACATTATCAGAAAATAAGTGTGGAAACTATAGTAAACATAAATTTATTAGTACTTTTTTAACATTTCCCCAACAAGGCTCTTCATAAGTAGGACTATAAATCCAAAGTAACTAAAATTTAATGAAATATTGGATTACTTAGAATATTTTCATAAATTTTAAAGATTACTAGGTAGCATTCACATTATATTCATCAATTAATTGTTACAGCTATGTCATCCATAGAAAAAAATTGCTAAATATAAGTTTATTGAGAGTTATCAACAACTCATAAAACACCCACTTCTCTGTTAAAAAAATGCATTTCAGTGATATTTTAAACTTAAAGAAATATTTGTTTCAAATAAGATTAATTAAACTTTCAATTGACTAATCTTCCTCAAATAAAGTTTCAGAAAAGTAGATTTCATTTTTGAAAGATTTTTTAATAGAGAGAATTATGCGGCATTGACAGATTTGTAAATATGGACAGTTTCAGCCAGTTAAAAAAAAAAAAAAATGAAAAAATAAATGATCATTCCAATTAATTTAAATTCAGTTTGAAATACAGCAATATATTTTGCTTATTGAAAATATTAAATTTACTCTATTAGCTGGAAATTAAAACTAAAATAAAAGCTTCAAGAAAGATTTTTCATTTTTAAAATGTGTATTAAACCTTTTTCTGGATTAAATTCTGCTGAAATTGGGGTGGGGTTTGTTATGCTGTCAAATACAGTAAATTTATTTCAGTTTTTAATGACAATAAAATAGTTGACATGGTTGGGGAAAAATTCCATGATTCACGGTTTACTGAATAAAAATGAGAAAAGGTTGTTGTGTTCAAATAAAATGATATTTAATGTAAAATACACAAATTCTTAACTAATATCACAAAATAAAACTTTGTACTTAGAAAGTCTTTCTCTCTGACTGAAAAGGAAATGAACAGTCTTTGAGTGAGAAAGAGAAAAAAGCAGGGTTGGGAGACAAGATCAAAGGGAGCTAACTGTTGCTTTAGTGAAAAAGACAGGACGATGGGTGTTGACTTTGGTCTCTTTAACTGTCACTCTTTCTTCGGAGTTGAATGGACGTCTAGTTTATATGGCTATATACAGGCTCCAGAAGCCTATGTCTATTTATTGGCAGGAGCTGATTTTACACTATTTACATCATTCAGACTATTGTCCTCATCTTTGTCAGCATATTTATTACAACGTTTTGGCCGTGGTATGCTCCAGCCGTCTTCAAGTGGTTGAAATGCCAAACTGAACCCTTTATTTCACTCACTGAGGTAGACTGTTCTAGTTCCATGTTTAATGGATGTCAGTTATCAGTTATCTCCTGTTAATTCCCCTCTCAAAGTTCTCCACTGCCTTAACCGGGTATTGAACTCACACTCTTTGGGTCCTGTCACTGGATCTAACCAACGCCTTTATCCACTGTGCCATGTGTTCTTGAGGACCACCTGAAGAAGGCCAGAGCGTACAACAGCCAAAACGTTGTAATAAATATGGCGACAAAGATGAGTCTGAATAATGTAAATAGTGTACATAATACATCATCTCAGAAATATAGACAGATACTGAAGGGTGATAAATATGGCGACAAAGATGAGGACAATAGTCCTAATAATGTAAATAGTTTACATAATACCTCATCTCAGAAATATAGACAGATACAGGAACCGATTTTATTGGCTATTCTTTATTTTTCTTAATTTGAAAAATGTTTGAAACTGGAAAACTGCACAAAGCCTTTGTGCAATTTGTTTATTTTTTTCATTTGATTTGAAACAGTTGTTGACCCTCAATTACTCTCTACAACATATATTTTAAGACATTCCACCTAAAAAATGAAGAAAGGTCCAATGTTTGTTTTAGAAATTCTAAGAGTTATCAAACACAAATGCTGAATTTGAAAAAAATGAAAAAAATTATATTTCATCTTGGGTGTTTATCTTCTATCTTTATCTCAGATGCAAAATATTTCCAATCCAAAGGGATCCGGTTGTGGGGAGTTAGTTGAAAATAAATAAAATAAGGGAGATGAATCAGTGTTTGACATGTAGAAATCATTTGAAATGCTAAATTTAACAATCCTTAAGAAATGCAAGGGAGATAAATCGGTGTTTGATACGTATTGTTTAGACTAGAGCTAGTTTTATAAACTGTTATTATTTATCAACAACACGCGAAAAAAATCTATAAGTATGAAATGAAGTGTTTGGTTTAAAATTCGAAGAAGGACGAAGTGTCCAAATGGCTGAAACGTCGTCATTCAAGCAACAACAAAGCCATGAGTTCAAATAAATTTTGTCGTAAAATTAAATAGCTATTTTTTTTATTGACAATAAGTTTTTGACTGATGAGTAATTTTATTTTTAACACACCACCAATTTTTGTTGATTTATTTTAAAAATTGGATTATCTTCTGGTCACATTTAGTTTCTCATATTCATTTAAACGAACATTTAAAATCCTAATTCAAAAACAAATCTTTCAAAATTAATGTAGCAAAAAGAGAAAAGTTATTTCCTAAAAAAAAAATAATTAAATTTATTAATTTCAAAAATCAAACATTTATCAGTTTTAATTAAGCATTTTAAAAAAATTGAAGATTGTCGTTGGAAGTGTTTATTTTTTTCCAAGTACGATTTACGAAACTAAAAAATACAACCACAATTATACAATAATTTTTTTCTTATAAACATAAACAAGAGCAAAATTGTTATATTATTCAAAAAAATAAAATGTGCTAAAAACTACCTGAAATGCAGCTTCCAAATCATCTACAAGACTTGGCTCTTCAGTTGCCATCCGCTCGCTTGAAGGAGTCGCCATGTTGAATTAGCGCCGCTAGAAAACAGAGCTAAAACTTTTAGTTTCGCATTCTCTTTGTAATTGGTTTAATTTTTTAGATTTTTTTTATCTAACTTAATATAATCTTAAAAAATAATAATTGAAATAAATATTTGCTTTAAAAATTGCCAATATTAATATGCATGTTTTTTATTTTAATTATTATCCTTTTTCAGATACGTACAAAGGAGGAGGCACAGTGGAGTAATGGATAGAAGCTCGGATTGAGCCGAGTTCGAATTCCAGTCGAATCCTTTACATTCACTTACGTGCTAATACCCTTTGGAAATCTGCTTCGTCAGTCATGTATCGAAAAATACATGATCGTCTAAGCGTATATCCCGCATGGCACGTAACTGACTGACAAAGAAGTAGATAGAAGTCGTAGCTCTTCGTATCAGGATTTTCTTATTTTAAAATAATTAGCGAAAATATCTAAACAAATAATTATATCTTGAACGAATATTATTAAATCAATGATTACTTTGATTATTCTAGTCAATACATACTAAATCTACTCATACATCCTTTCATTAGGTCTTATCATGTTAATGTTGTGTCACACTAGACAACTAACTGAATACAGAGACAAAATATACAGTGGGCTTGTCCGTAGCAACCCATGACGTGACTAACTCTGACTGCTATTAGCTACGAACACTTTATTGAAATGAGATTGGTTTCTATAATTGAAAGCCTATGTCAAATTATCTTTGGATTAATGAAAACCTTGCCTTCACAGAAATTGATTGGTGAACAGAAAAGAAAAACGAAATAAATTCGCAAAAATATGTGAAATTGTTTGGAACTGTGGAATCTTCCACAACAAGCCAGTTAACCCCAGCTAGGAAATGCACTATTCCTGTTGTAATTTTCACCATCACAATCTTACAAAATATATAACAAGCATTCATTGGTTAATCACCTTCAATCTAGCTTGTTGATTGGTCAGTTCTGACCAAACAAACCGCTTGCACGCGACAAGTCTGTTTTCCCGCTTAATATACTCGGAGCCTCCCACGTGATTCACGATTATTATGTAGAATGCTTGCTTCTTGAGTGTTGTAATCACCAATGTTGAATGGGTTAAATAGATAAATGTGGCTGAGTGTTGAGAAGGCAATAAACATTCATACATAATATTTAAAATATCAAGGAAAATACAATGAAAACCAATTTTGTTTTAAGAAATAAATATATGTATATTAAAATTCAACAATAATACAAAGTAGTTGTAATATGAGGGAATAGGGAGAAAAAAGTAGCTTCCCTTTAACTGTAAGGAAATGTTTTTAAGGAAGATTTGTCTGAGTATAAAGTTCAGAGTTCAGTGTTGAAAATAGAATATTTCTTTTAGAAAATTGTTCAGTTGTTGAAACTTACAGAGTTGATTTAACTTAGTATGTCCACAGAGAACTGGTGGTGTATCAAATAAAGTTCTGTATCTGTGTGTATGTACGTGCGGAGTGAGTAGGATGAATAACACGAGTGAGTAGATGAGATCTATTGTCTCTGGTCTGTACTCGCCTGTGGTTCTGGAACTACTACTACTGGTTTTTTGGAATGCATCCAATATTTATATTACCTAGGGTGGCACCCAGCACAAACGCGGGATATATTTTTGAATGTACACGAAAAATACCCGATTGGACGAAAAATGGACCAATCAGTGATTTTATCGCAAAACTTGTTTGCGAGCAAAGAGTAGGAAAAAATTCAGTATGGTGAAATGCGATCGATAAATTGTCCTATTATTTTTAGTATGTATTTATCGACCAATTAAAATTGGAGAAAATGTAGGCGTGGCACTACAATTATAAAAACAGAACACGTGTAAACTCCCTCGAGTTTCTTTTCATTCATCTCTCTCTCGCTTCTCATTTAACAAGATATAATCTTCAAGAACTCCCGTCTTAACTAATGCAGTTAGACGTTAAAGACCATTACCAACATTCATGCAAGTACAAACTCTGAAATCTTTTCTGAACTTTTACCAACTTGTACAATACACAATTCCAAACATGCTAAAGAAACTTTATTCTTCTAAACTACAGTTTAATAATTATTTTCACTTTATGAACTTAGGTACAAATATTACCTAATCTAAGAGACACAACTCTGTCTAACCTTTTCACTCAGTATTCATGCATGTATATCAAACACTAATTCAATTGTTACGTTTTGAAACAAGATGTTTATGAATCATTATTTCTCTGTCTTGTATTAATTCTTGTGGATGGAAGATTATTGAACACACACAATTTTAAGCCTTCTGATAATTCAAACCTTCTATTCCTTTCCAACACACATCACACATCCGCAACAGAACCAATAAAAACCTTATCTGTACAAAAATTAGCCTTTGTGCCAAGAAGAAAGGAACTAGCCTATGCGAAATTCTTTTTTATATAAAATGAGGAGAAAAATTAATAAGAGAAAAGTGTCTGAAGTCATGTGAAAGGTTTCGTTTCTGTTCACTGCACCCAGCGTTGAAGTTTTCACCTGTGTAAAATTACTCGCCAATTATGTTATCGGCATTTAATCTAGCATGCGATAGTTCAAATAATTTTCCTTCAACAATCCGAGAAATCTAAGTATTTCTTTCTTCGTCGACTATTGAACGTATACAAACCATATATCCCTTCAGCGAGCAACGAAATCGCTTACCTTTGTCTTAAACATTCTTTAATATTATTTTGTGTCAGATCATTTAATCTGTTATAGACAAGCGTATGACTGCAAGAAAGAAATACGACAACAGCAGAAATAGATTTACGTGGTTTATTTCAACAGGAACGTGTGGGTTTGGGACAGCTACCTTGTGGTAAAGTTCATAAGCCGGCTTCGGATCTAGGTCGATCCCTCATAGTAGTTCACACATGTTGACGGTGGTTGACACTCCCCTGCTGAACGTGACAGGTCTCTATCCTGGGCACCTGTGGACTGCCCGTTGAACTTCGTGTGACCCCTTTTATAGCGTTGTTTTATGGCTTAACAGGCTCGAAAAACGAAGCGAGTATAATTAGGAGGGAAGCATTTTTATTGGACGAAAAATAGAACACTTTAAATATTATTTTATTTTTCGACCGGAACTCGAGTGTCGGGAACATTTGTAAATGAAGATAATGGTCATTTTGTGACGGGGTTTTGTCCCGTTCACATCCGGCTCTCGCTCTTGCGTATATGCCTGTAAAATCTTATTTTATTTTATAACAATCTATTGTATCAACATTTCCTCTTCATGACAATACGTTAAAACTACGGACTTTAAAGATTTCTTATTTATTTTTCTGAAACGAGATACTGACACGTCTTCAAATGTGTCAATTCATAAATAAATTCCTTATATTTTGTTAAAATATACCTATGTGTTTCCTCGCTATTATCTTTCTTCATTAATCTTCTTGTTGGGCGTAAATCAGTTGTTCATTTTAACACCACACTACTATAGCACTTTTTGTTATAATTTTGCCAGTTTCTGAGTGTGGCATGATTAAGGGCGTCTGCTCAGCAGTATCTCATACGGGTTGTTTCTTCATAGTTGACTTTGTTGCGGACTGGCAAATGTATTTTGAGTGATCAGAAGGATTTTTAGTGTTGGTGTTCTAAAAACATTCGGCCACAACAATTAAAGACAAATATTTGCAATAAATCATGACGTATTGTTTCAAAACGTAACAATTGAATTTATTAAGTACTAGCAGTAGAGCCCGGCGTTGCCCAGGGATGTAACAGTAAGAGATAGATCAAGTATCGACTATCATAAAGACTGAAAAATAAAATTGACAAAGATTATTGTTTAAGGTTGACGGACACGCATGTCTTAATTAGTTTTTTTTTTGTTTTGCTTCTTTTTTTTTGTTTTGTTTTGTTTGTACGAATTGGTCAAACTCAAACAAAAACATTGTTTTCAATCGTTATGAGTCTACCTATTGAATAGAATTTTATTATAAACAATTGTCTTGTAAATGGAATTTTTAAAGCATTCTGAATGTAAAAATAAAGAAAAAAAGTGTACAATACAATAAGAAACACTACCTGCCAAAAAAAAGTGAAGTTTTGTTGAAATCGGTTGAAAAATGTAGGAAATCCGATCCCATATATCAACGAACACACACACACACAAACAACCTGGGTTTTATAATAAGTATAACTCGATATGAGTTGTCTCCCTTTCATTCTCGTGATGCCTCTTAATCGTATTTTTAAATTGATTTCGTGCAAAAACAATTGTGTTTTTCCAATTTTTGGCACTGTTAGAACCACCCCAAGGAAATTTTACGTAGTCCTCTGAAGTTTTGTTGAAATCGGTTGAAAAATGTAGGAAATCCGATCCAATATATAAACGTACAGACACACACACACACACACACACATCTGCGTTTTATAATAAGTAAGATTTGATATACATGCATGTGAATTGAAAGGTTTTGACAGAATTATGTCTCTTAGACTTGGAAATATTTGTACTTGAGCTCATAAAGTGAAAGTCATTATTAAACTGTAATTTAGAAGAATGAGTTGTTGCATGTTAGGAATTGTCTGTTGGACAGAAAGAGTTGAGAATTGTACTTGCGTGAATGTTGTAAAGTTCTTTAACGTCTGACCGCACTGGTCAAGACGGGTGTTCTTGAAGGTCACATTTTGGCAGCAAGAGATGAGACACGAGAGCGAGTAAGAAGAAGTTGAAGAGAGAGAATCACTCGTGTTTTTGCTTATATATGATCGGGTATCACATGACCGGCTCAGATAGAGAACGCGGGAAAACAGATTTGTCGCGTGCAGGTGGTTTGATTGGTCGGAACTGACCAATCAGTGAGATAGTTTGAAGTAGATTAACCAATGAATGCTTGTCATATATTCATTTACAGGGAATAGTTTATTTACCCACACAGGGTGACTGGTTGACGTGGAAGAGTGGAAGATTCCACAACTTCATTAGATATGAATGTTGATTTTTGGTTGTCATTTTCTTTTGATAG